GAATGAAATTTATCCAGACCACCAAATGTTTGGGCCTGTTTACTTGTCCCCTCCTGGGCGGCTAGAAGACCGAAGTCCAAAATCTGGCGTAATATTTTACACGCTTGGCACAAGCTGTTCCCCTCATCACTCAGACCTCCCCAGACCAGAATAAAAGTTCTTAATCAGGTGCTGTTCGAAAATCCCTTTATCATAGCACCGACCTACACCAGCCTCAAGGCGGATGGGTGCTTGGGCTCATTTGGAAGAGCGTGGATAGAGAAAGGCGTGGTTGAGATCAGGGACATTTGGTCCCCCTCCTCAGATTCCTGGCTTACGGTGGAACAACTGAGACAAAAACTCCCTAGGCTTCACAATGTGGAAAGCAACTACGGAAAATTATTGAACGTCATTTCGCAGTATTGACTCTCTCTTCTTCCTAGTTCCACTGAACATGGGCAAGGGGCTTGGGTGCGGGACGCCAATTGTGCCGAGGAAATACTGCGAATAGTGGGCCTGGAGTTACCACAGGGGATGAGGGTCCAGGTATGGACCCGCAGGCTAGGAATTGCACTTCTTCCGCTCCCCCACCCCCTCACTCGAGTAGAGGACAAGATTATCGATTCCTCGATAGGTTTAGCAGAATGCAGAGTGTGGAGTACTCAGTCTGGACCAAAGGAGGTAGCCTTGCTGAAAGTGGAAGACGCGGAAGCTCTGCAGATTGAACCGCTGCTATATGGCTGGGCTCAAACTGCAGGACTGAAAAACCCAGTTCCGGTATCTTCTTACTCGACTAAAATAGGATCTCAGCTACTGCGGGCATCAATTAAGAAACAACCAGTAGTGACGGCAGCTGAGAGACTATCCAAAGAGCCGGGATTTTCTTTGGGCAACGTGGATCTGTATAGTCACTGGCAAGCTCTGAGACAAATGGTCCCACAGAAACAGGCCAGCTTGATCTGGCTACAGCTCCTGCTAGCGACCCCTTCAGCTACTTGGCTCGCGTTAAAGGGGATGGATATTTCAAAGCAATGTTGTAGTTGTAGCTGGGGCTGGGAGACAGCTACATGGGAATCGTGGAAAGCCAGGTGGAAGGATATAGCAGGGGATAATTTCCTGTGGTCGCAAGAAGGGCTCCTGTATGGCTTGCCATATGGCAAAATCGACTTTGCGGCTGGGTGGCCTTACATGGCCTTGGCCTGTAAGGGAGCAGTTATGGAAACAATATGGAAAGCTCGCAACAGAGCTACTTTCAAGCACGAGGTATTCCCTTTCCATGCTCAGACCAATGCTATCAAGGCCCTGGCCAGACAATGCATCCACGTAGATTGGCAAGGTACCCGGCAACAGTCACGAAAGAACCGCTTTTGATTCGCTCAGACATGGGCCAAGAACAACTGCTTCTCTTCGATTTCCTCAGATGGGAACCTGAGGCTGGCGGACTGGCTCCAGGAGGAAAAAAGCAGATAGAATGGGACAAGAAATGGTCCCGACTCCACGAAGATGGATAGGCCGTGTGATAGGCCGCTTAGCACTGACGTTCAAGAAAGAAGGGATGGTTGGTAGTTGAAGTACTTATAGTAGCTCGAAGTGGATCCTCTCCTGAATAGGAACTTGTTATTTTGGACTTCTGTTCCCATAGGACTAGACTTTATAGGATGGGTATTTTCTAGTGCTTGTTAGTGGAATGCCATTTAAACTAGATTTCTTGCTTCATCAAGGGTCGCAGAGTTTAAGCTAAACCGGCTGATGCTGCCGGGATAAATCCGGGTTGAATTGTGAGGTCCCCGGCCTCAACATAGTTTTGATTGGCAATAAACGGTTACATATTAAAAAAACAAAAACAAAAAAAAAACTGGTGGCTGAAGTCATGAGTACCTTGCCCAGCTATCGAGTCCGAGGCTCGGACTACCGGTAGCCCGATCATTCCCAAGCCACGGACTTTATTGGCGAGCCTCGGACAACCGGAAGTACATCACGGAAAAAGAAAAAGAAAAAAAAAACACAAAAAAAACATGCAACATTCTGCAAAAAAATAAAATAAAATAAGCCATTGCAATCAGACATGCCCAACAAGATTCCTCGATAAAGAGGAAGATTCATTCTCGTGGGAGGTTCACAGAGAGAGACACAGAGAGA